CAGCACTGCATCCACGCCTACTACCTAATAAGAACACCTGCTCACGTTTTGGGGTTTTGGTTTAGGGTCAACTGTGTATAATTAAACCGGCAGCGGCTGCTTGCAAGAGCTCCATTTGCTGGCGAGGGCTAAGTTTTCTGCATGAGACAATTGCAAAGTGTTCACTTCGGGGTTCCCAGGAACAAGGAAAACATTGGGAATTTTTACTTTTTGCATTCCGCTTCATAAAGCGGATCTCGAGGAGTTGAGGCTTGCCCGCTGCCCGAATATGGTCCCGAAACGTTGTTCCCGAGGGCCGCGGGCAAACCGCAGCTCCTGGCCGTTGTTGTTGTTGTTGTTGTTGTTGCTGTTGCTGTTGCTGTTGCTGTTGCTGTTGCTGTGGCTGTCGTTGTCGTTGTTGTTGTCGTTGTTGTTGTTGTGGTTATGGTTGTGGTTGTGGTTGTGGTTGTGGTTGTGGTTGTGGTTGTGGTTGTGGTTGTTGTTGTTGTTGTTGTTGTTGTTGTTGTTGTTGTTGTTGTTGTTGTTGTTGTTGTTGTTGTTGTTGTTGTTGTTGTCGCTGTTGCTGTTGCTTTTGCTGTGGTTGTCGTTGTTGTTTTTGTTTTTGTTGTTGTTGTGGTTGTTGTTGTGGTTGTTGTTGTTGTTGTTGTTGTTGCCGTTGTTGTTGCTGTCGCTTGGTGCTGTCGCTGTCGCTCCCGCTGTGGCTGTCGCTGTCGCTGTTGTTGTTATTGTTGTTGTTGTTGTTGTTGTTGTTGTTGTTGTTGTTCTTGTTCCTGTTCTTGTTCTTGTTATTGTTCTTGTTGTTCTTGTTCTTGTTCTTGTTCTTGTTCTTGGTTGTTGGTTGTTGGTTGTTGGTTGTTGGTTGTTTTTTGTTTGTTGTTTGTTGTTTGTTGTTTGGTGCTTGTTGATTGTTGCTTGTTGCTTGTTGGTTGTCGGTTGTTGGTTGTTGGTTGTTGGTTGTTGGTTGTTGGTTGTTCTGGTTCTTGTTCTCGGTCTTGTTCTTGTTGTTTGTTGTTTGTTGTTTGTTGCTTGTTGGTGGATGTTGGTTGTTTGTTGGAGGTTGTTTGTTGTTTGTTGTGTGTTGTTTGTTGTTTGTTGTTTGTTCCTGTTGTTTGTTGTTGTTTGTTGTTTGTTGTTTGTTGTTTGTTGTGTGTTGTGTGTTGTGTGTTGTGTGTTGTGTGTTGTGTGTTGTGTGTTGTGTGTTGTGTGTTGTGTGTTGTGTGTTGTTGTGTGTTGTTGTTGTTGTTGTTGTTGTTGTTGTTGTTGTTGTTGTTGTTGTTGTTGTTGTTGTTGTTGTTGTTGTTGTTGCTGTTCTTGTTGTTGTTGTTGTTGTTGTTGTTGTTGTTGTTGTTGTTGTTGTTGTTGTTGTGGTCGTTGTTGTTGTTGTTGTTGTTGTTGTTGTTGTTGTTGTTGTTGTCGTTGTGGTTGTCGTTGTCGTTGTCGTTGTCGTTGTCGTTGTTGTTGTGGTTGTTGTTGTTGCTGTTGGCTGTTGCTGTTGCTTCGCTGCTGTCGCTGCTGCCGTTGCCGTTGCTGCTGTTATTGTTGTCGTTGTTGTTGTTGTTGTGGTTGCGGTTGTGGTTGTGGTTTTGGTTGTGGTTGTGGTTGCTGGTTGTTGTAGTTGTTGTGTTGTTGTTGTTGTTGTTGTTGTTGTTGTTGTTGTTGTTGTTGTTGTTGTTGTTGTGGTGGTTGTTGTTGCTGTTGGCTGTTGCTGTTGCTTCGCTGCTGTCGCTTTTGCCGTTGCCGTTGCTGCTGTTATTGTTGTCGTTGTTGTTGTCGTTGTTGTTGTTGTGGTTATGGTTGTGGTTGCTGGTTGTTGTGGTTGTTGTGTTGTTGTTGTCGTTGTTGTTGTTGGTTGTTGGTTGTTGGCTGTTGGTTGTTGTTGTTGTTGTTGTTGTGGTGGTGGTGGTTGTTTTTGTTGCTGTTGGCTGTTGCTGTTGCTTCGTTGCTGTCGCTTTTGCCGTTGCCGTTGCTGCTGTTATTGTTGTCGTTGTTGTTGTTGTGGTTGTGGTTGCTGGTTGTTGTGGTTGTTGTGTTGTTGTTGTTGTTGTTGTTGTTGTTGTTGTTGTTGTTGTTGTCGTTGTCGTTGTCGTTGTTGTTGTTGATTGTTGGTTGTTGATTGTTGTTTGTTGGTTTTTGGTTGTTGGTTGCGGGTTGTGGGTTGTGGGTTGTTTGTTGTTTGTTGTTTGTTTTTGGTTGTTTGTTGTTTGTTGTTTGTTTGTTGTTTGTTGTTTGTTGTTTGTTTGTTTGTTGTCTGTTGTTTGTTGTTTGTTGTTTGTTGTTGGTTGTTGGTTGTTGGTTGTTGGTTGTTGGCTGTTGCTTGTTGGCTGTTGCTTGTTGTTGTTGTGGTGGTGGTGGTTGTTTTTGTTGCTGTTGTTGCTGTTGCTGCTGTTGCTGTTGCTGCTCTTGCTGTTGCTGTTGCTGTTACTGTCACTGTCGCTGTCGCTGTCGCTGTCGCTGTCGCTGTCGCTGTCGCTGTCGCTGTCGTTGTCGCTGTCGCTGTCGC